TGTACACATAATGCAAATGTAAACTGTGCATAACATTAACTGCTGTTCCATACTAAGGCTTCTAACCAAGTTAAGAATTGAAAGAAATTACATTAAAGATTTGAATTTTCCAATATAAAACCTTCCATCCAGGGACAGTAAAACATCTTTGGAATTTTAGTCAATTTGACCCATTTTTGGCCCTGCCAATCAGCCCCTTGGGGTCAGTCAAGGTCAATATGTGCATCTCATCAAGCTGTCAGCTTATACTAATAATAAAAAGAATTCTTACCAAGTTTGAACTATTTCTGAAAGATAATACCCCCTTAAACAAATTATGCTAAAAAATGTAATTTTCCTGTAACATAAATAAACTTTACCCCCTCCCCAGGGGAGAAATGTGAGATCCCATGGTCATGAAATTTACAAATTTGGTAAAGCATATGAAGGCCTGGGATTTGAGAAGAGGATTTTTGAAATTTCAGTCATTTTAACCCATTTTTGGCCTTACCCATCAGCCCTTGGTGGTCAGCTGAGACCAATATGTGCATCTCATTAATCTATAGTCTTAAACTATGAATTCTTACCTGATTTGAACTATTTCCAGTTGAAAATAAATAAATAATGTTCAAAAACGTGATTTTCCTATATAACTATAGTTAACTTTACCCCCTCCCCTGGGGGAAATGTGAGACCCTGGGGTCATAAAAAAAAAATTTTGGTAGAGTAACTGAAGGCCTTTCCATCCATGAAGAGTACGTGATTCTATCATACCTGGGATTTGAGAAGAAAATATTTGAAGCTTAAATCAATTCGACCATTTTTGGCTTTGCTCCTCAGGCCTCTGTGGGACTAGGACCATATCATTTAAATTTTTGTTGCACCTTTAGCCATGGAAGGTTTTTGTAAAATTTCATTTAAGTTTGTTCAGGAGCTTTTCAGAAGAAGTTGAAATTGCTAAAACTTTATGACACATATAATGACATAACTCCTAATCAATGTAATTTACACATGTTTATTATAATGCAATATTAAATACATTTACATCTGTATCGTCACATTTCATGATAGGAAGAAAACGGGAAAAAATCTTGACCAAAGACGTGTATAACACAGGTGGTTTTTTTTGTTCTTTTTTTTTTTTTTAACACAATGTAATTATTACCATGTATGTCAGATTTTATTATATGAAGATAATTTTGTATCATTTTTGGTTAAAATTCAAGTTTATATTATGAGAAGTCTTAACAAAGACGACATTGAGGAGGCCACTTCATACAATATTCAAGCAGAAGCTACAGTAATGTAGATTGGCATTCGTGTATCACTTAAAATTAGGGCTGTAATGAGAACCTGGGTCACCCGTTTCAATTTCGATCCCGTGTGTATCCGGTTACTCAAGTCAGTATTGTGTTATGTGTAGGCCTAATGTGGTGTTACATTATCAGAGTTAATACAGTAGATTCTTGGTTCCAGTCATGCATATAAACTAACCATTGTCAACCACTGTAACTTTACAAAGTCTGAAATCACATTGTAGTAGTCATTTTCCTGACATAGACAATAATATCCAGACTGATATGTACTTTAAATAACTCTTGTACATTCAATGATGCTGACATTATCCATTTATCATCAGTGACAATATATAATATACATGTGTGAAATGATTGAATTCTTAGTCAAATAGTTGTATTATTAAAACTAGTTAGCTTCCTTTCAAAGAATCCCTTTGAAGAACGATTAAAAATGCAGCCATTTTATCACAAATACTGGTATCGTTATTTAGTCACAGAAATATACTCAAGTCTTACTATAATTTTACATAACATGCATAATATTACTAGCACAATAGTTTCACTGTCAAGACTGTATAGGGTGATTATCTTATACATTGTCAGTTCCATCGATAAAGCCAAAAACAAAGAATAGAGCAAGTATAATATACTGTCAACATATCGTCGATTTGATCGTGGTGGCACATTTTATTTGACCGGTAACAGTCTGACAGTCCATGTCAAAATATAGAACGTTGTGTAGGACGTAATGAAATTAAAAAAAAAATAAACACAGGTCTCAAACTTACTTTCAGATTGCAAATCATCGTCTGAATACCAAAGTTGACTCATGTATTTCAGTAGTCTTTGCTCTTAGAGCATATTGTGTTGTCAACAATTAATTTCGGCTTGCTCGTATATTCTACCGTTTGAACTCATTTTTTTATTTTACCGGAAGTAGTTCCGGTGTTATACGAGCTAGATATTCACCGGAAGGAACAAATTTACCGCCAATAAGTGAAAAGACACGGCGCCAACGCGGTTTTGCCAGGACACATGAATGTTTAGGACAAAAAATTAATGTGATAAAAAAGAAACTTAGTCTTGTTGAAACGAAATGCTAAAAAATGACAGATTTATGCCCTGATAAATGAATTTTCTTGCAATTTTAATAATAAATGTATGTAATCCTGGTAAAACACTAGCCATAATATAACGTTCACATAGAGAAAACTTCTCTTTAGCGCAATTACTTGATTGAGCATCAGAATAGTAAGGGAGTGGTCTCGGGTTCAAATCAAAGTGGAGACATGAAAATAAGATTACTGCTGTAACACATTGGGACCCTTGTAGGGACTCTTGAATAAGATTTAGTTCTTTCATAAACTTCGCTGTAACCCCCAGAAACTCCATGCCAAATCAGTTATTCCTGGAGGGGGAGATGAATTATAATGGTAAAATAATTGCCATTAGAAGACTTATAAGTCAGATGTCTCAGGTTTGAATCATCAGAATAAGATTATATCCACTGTATTGATATATAAATGTAATATCATTAATTGTTTGGGAATTGTAATACTTCTTATAAAACACCCTATTTTCTGACCCGTATCCCTTATGATAAAGTCACATTTTCTAAATGCTGTAAATTGTATAGGCCTGCTCTATATATGTATATTATGTAAAATTCATGTTGATGAGTATTGTATAATGTGAATATATATAAACAAATGCTTTTCCTGGTAGCATAAGATGCCTTAGTGTCACCTAAGAAATGACATTTGTTTATGATCAAACTGTTCAAATCGCCCTTCATTCATGGTCACACTAGTCCTTGGTCTGTCCTTATGTAATTGTTATAGCTATTTCCTGAGAAGTAGTGATGGATAATTTTCAAATGTCGCAATGTAAGTTAAACTTGCAGGTCCATGGTTGTGCACTCTTCCATTTTGGGGCTGATAACGAAAAACAAAATGACAGGAGGCATCTTTTAATTTGGCTGCTATAGGTTGTTATCAGTATTTCTGGAAAAGCGCATGATGGTTCCCCTTGGTCCCTGGTTGTGACCTTTTGAACTGGGAACTTGATCTCTACCTACAACGCAGACAACAGGGACACTCAGATATATGACAAGCATGATGATTTAGATTTTTTGAATTTGTATTTTTTTCAATGGAAAGAACCTTACTTCCTTAACTTATATTGTTAACATGTCACAGTTGATTCCATGTTGAAGAGCTTGTTCCCAGTATCACAATGTCCATGAAAGACGTGGACAGCTGATGGATGATGCAGATTGATGATGATCATGTGATACGAAACTTGATGTATTTGATGTTCATTAGTATACCCGGTCGTTTCATTAACATTGTTACATGACAGGTGTTATTGACAAAGTAGAAGACGCTGAACCTTCTGGAACACTATCAGTACTTTCAAGATATGTCATGTAAATATTTCTTTTATTCGTATATAGCTTCCTTATCATTATCTGATTTCAACCAAGATTTTAAGTATCTTAAATCAAATAATGATTTTCATAACAGGTGCAGTTTCATTCAAAATGCATTCCTACAATAAAGTAGATTAAATAAGAAATATCAGTATTTAACTATAGTGCATAGCATATGTATCACAGCACCGGTCAGGTAAAGTGTATTTGTAATTGGATTTCATCTGTCTCACAAACTTCAGTTTTAACTGACATTTCTGTAATATGACAAAATTAATATTACATTAACTACAGTGATGTTATATTTTATGTTGAAGCAGCATCTTCAATGTTAAATGTACAATGGTCCTTCATTGACAGCAGGGACGGAAGAGAGGAAAGACAAGTTGCTGTATTTTGCATAATGCAGAGTGTGTAGTTGCTGCCTTGATTCTGTAACGAACTCTGTGCACTTTGGATTGATTGAAGTACACATTTGTATCTTCTGTGTCTTTGCCTGTTACTGGTTCATAGTTGGTGGTAATTCTATTCCCTACATATATGTTGGCAGTTGTTGCTTATGCCAGATTCTACTGCGTTAACTTTCCACAGAGAAGTTGTGATTCCTAAAGCAGATACATAGAAAAAGCGAGCCAAAAGATGGGGGAAAGAGCCAATGCCAGTCCGATACATAGGCAAGATCCTTAGGTAGTAAATCGCTGAAAATCGGATATGTAAAGATAATCAACGCACTGGTTCATATAATTTAATTAACTAATTACAATAAGTGATGTAACTAACTCTCCAATATAATATACAATACTGAATGTTTATTATTAATTTGGAGTTACTGCCCCTGTAACCATATGTCACAGGATAAGGGTATATCAGGGATGGAAATATTGGTTGTAACTATGTCCTGATGAGCCATGTTAAGTACAAAACTATGTACAGTGTACATGTAGTTATCGCCAGTAAGGTGAGATATGTATGGATGTATTGGATGTTGCTATTGATTGTACATTGACATCAGTCACCTGTCATAGATAGAGACACATCTTTAGTATTCAATAACAGGCATCCAATGAAAATTTGTTTGTTCGGATTGTTTTGATATAATCAAATTGTAACATCATGCTAAACATTGCAATATAGAGTGTGTACTAGTGATATGTCATGCTCGATACTCCCATTTGTGGTCCTTGGAATTGGTATAGGATTTCAGACAAATTTAATCAGCTTGTACTTATGAATTTTTGTTATTCCAGACATTTTATACACAAATCAAGAACATAATTCAGTTATCAGTCTTTTTAAAGTTCTTTATTGGAACAGACACATTTTCTTTTATTGTCTAATGGACAAAATAGTGCAGTTTAAGATATCAAAAAAGTCATTGCATATTCCTAAAGAAATTTAATGTTTGTCATCGACTTTTATAAATTTAGATAAAGAAGAGATGGAAAAACAAAATTAGACAAAAACTAAAAATCACTGTAGGTACTCTAGTCCAAGCAAAGTTACGACATTGACTTGTTTCAGTCGTCAGGTCCCTCATCTTGTAATCCAGAACATAATTTACAAGGTTCATTGTGACAATACAGTACAATCATTACCATAACAGTATGCTCTACAAACACAATACTGAGTTTCTATATAATTCACAACCTACAACACCCACACACATCTTGACGCTTAATAGTCTCACTTAGCTATTGAAACAACATCTATCACATGGATCAGAAGTAGAAAGAAATATGTTCAGCTACTGTCTACATAAACATTCTGAGAAAATCAGCTTGAGAATACCAATAGAAGAAAACGGTGAGAGAACTAAGTAAATAGTGTGTTGTTCCACCAGACACTAATTAGCATTCTGGATTTACTGCTCTTCGATGCCAAACACATTGAATTTTAGTTTAATGTTCTTTAATCTTAAATGATCTCATTTGCATAAAATGAGCAAAATAAATAAACAAAAAACAAAAAACCCTGAAAATCACAATTATCACACTGAACTTGCATATAGCAGTCTGATAAAAATAACATTTCAACGACATGTGATAGCACATTTTTGCTATGCACATCGTTACATTTCACTTACAAATACTGCTTCAAATTGTACATTGGGTCATTTCACTGCCATTTATGATTTAACAAGATATTTCAGTCCTGCTGTAAAAGGTAATGTAACATCGTACAAAACACTGATTTTTTATACTGACTAGATCATAAAATGTACATGCATGTAAAATAATTTTTAAGCTTTATGTATTGTTACCATTGAATTGTGTTGACATTTCAGTTGAGGAACATAGTAAAAAAAAACCACACAGAGTCATAAACAAAATATGTTGACAATCATTATGACGTAGAAAGTCAACAATTTTGTAAAAACAGAGGAGAAAACTTAATAATCATCTACAATGTGTAGACACATACTAAATAACTTTACTAACAGTTGATAGAATTTGAAATACATTTGATATTTGTGACATTCCAGATTGTTATTACATAAGATTTTTGGGTATAAAACATGGTTCTCTAAAGTAGCAAATTATAAAAAAAAAAACTATATATATATATATGTATATCATTGTAATGACCAAGACCTTAAACCTTTTGTCTTTACTCCACTTCTCATGATCGACATTTAAAACACATTCAATCCATCTAGACTGAAGATTGCTTCAGGACACTTGCTTATAGAAATGGTTGGGTACTTAATTCCAGCACACTACCAGACAAGTGACATCACACTAAGCTATGTAGTCTTGTGCATATTCTTAACTGTTATTATTCAAATGAATTAAGATTGTGGTCTGAAGGTTACAGCAATTTAGTGAACATATACAAGTTTCAGATCAATTTCCATAACTGTCTAAAGAAACAGTAGACAGAATGTCTGGTAATAACGTTGAATAATAAAGTTTCAATTTGATATACTGAGTCCTAACAGTAACTGTGTGCTACTTATAGAAACAATAACCATCTCTTCATCTGAAGACAGGCAGCATATTTCTAAACAATAAACAAAGCCCTTGCATGCAAATTTAATTCACAACAATTAGACTTACACCACACAAAACATTTCCATTGACATTTCAACTAAATATTTCCATTAAAAATACACCTACATGTAAAAACATTGTAAAATATGTGTGTTTTTGATAAAGCAATAGTTTTGAGAAACAATGAAAAGTTTTAGATTTTTAAAAATATTTTTAAATATTGGTACCACTCATTTATCAATATCGATAAGATGATAAAACAATGTTAGCTCTACTTTTTTTTTTAACTGGTGCAATAATCTTAAGAATGTTCTATTCTTTACAATAATATTTCATAATTGGTAAATGCCACATCATCTCCTAAACTTGTAGTATGATGTTTTTAGAATGACATGATTCACATTACTGTGTGTACCAAGAAGTCTAACTTATCATGCACACCTATCCCTTTACAACTTTCACTATTTCTACATATGCTACAGAAAACTGAAATCATGGATTTCAAATCCTACAGTTGTTATAAATCACCGGTAACCCTCTGTGGATAAAATTGGTCATACATCACAATATTAAGTATATTTTACTTTCTTTACCGGGGTTTTAAACAAGTTCATCTTTACTTTAAATAAGTACCATTCACATAAACGTTACAAAATTCAACAATAAACATTTATAACTCACAGTGATATCTAGATATTGGATCTGTGTAAGCATTGAATACTAAATAGTATAAACCATAGGTGTCAAGACTGGCCCAATAAAAAAGTTATGATATCTGAGTTTTCCTCCAAGAAGTATCAATTCTGTCCTTCTCTTATCTTCTGAATAGCCTTAAGGCCCATTCTGCAGCCCATCCTGAAAAAAAAGGATTAAATATATATCAGTTTGTTTCTGAATGATCTGTTAGTCTGCAAAAATTATATTAATTATTTTATGAGAAATTGTGTCTCACCATTTTGCGACATTGGGTAGGTATTGGTTTGCATAGCAAAACAGAAGGACAGGGTTCCTTGTGATCCAAACTTCCCACATCTTGTTGGCAATGGCGACCCCCATCAGATAAGCACAGCGGTCTGTCTTCATCCGCTTTTCATTTGGGTTCATTTGACTCTTTAATTCCTAATTAATACGATACAAATGTTAATATAATTATATAAGAAAACAAATCAAAACAAATGCCAGTCAATGGTTGGTGATTGTATAGGGAATTACCTAACATATCATTTATATAATAAGAACTTTAATTATCTATTGTTTACATAAAGATTTAAATCATCTATAGTTTATATAATAAGGACTGAAAACATCTACAGTTTATATCATAAGGATTTAAATCATCTATAGTTTATATAATAAGGATTGAAAACATCTACAGTTTATATCATAAGGATTTAAATCATCTATAGTTTATATAATAAGGACTGAAAACATCTACAGTTTATATCATAAGGATTTAAATCATCTATAGTTTATATAATAAGGACTGAAAACATCTACAGTTTATATCATAAGGATTTGAAAAATATAGTCTACAATAATTGTTTAAGATTGTGTGGATGTACCTCGCCAGCATTTTCTGTAAAAGCGACCGCCAGGATGTTAGAGAAGACTGGGCCTGGGCAGATGTTGGTAACATAGATATTCTTCTCACCCACTTCTACTCTCAATGCATCAAACCAACCCTGCAAACCAATCATTAAACATTTCACAGTTCTATGTTCGCAAAAGTACATGTTGTAAACATGAAGCTTTATAAATACTTTAAAGACTTTATAATACTGAAAACATTTTACACATTGTTTGAAAAGTTCCCTTGAATACTATACTGTAATGCTATCATGTATAACCTGTTTAATACAATGCTGTGTATACCTACCCTGTATACGTTTTGTACGTTTAGAATGCTAACCTGACATATTTTACCACAGTATGATTATTTATCAACCATAACTAAGGATTTGTTAAGATGACATACTTACTTGTACAGCATGTTTTGCACCTGTGTAGGATCCTGAAAGTGGTGCACCTGAACAAATACAGTAAATTTCTATTAAAAAATGATTTTAACGGTTCAAAGACCCTGTCTAATTCTAAATTTGAATTGAAAGGTGTTATTCACTTATCGAGAGAAGACTATAAACATGATACACATATACCAAGGTAAATGGTTGATAATAGGTGACAATGACAAGAACATATCTTAAAAACGACCTCCACATGCATAAATGTAGTTTTATTTTGAAAGTAAAATCCCTAGATCTATTACTAAATGAATACAAACCCAGTTTTCCTGCCACGCTAGAAACATTGACAATATGTCCCGACTTCCTTTCAGCCATATGGGGGAGTACAAGCTTGGATAGGGAAAGTACACCAAGAACATTTAGCTCAAGCATATCCCTGTCAACCTGGAGTGCTGTCTTCATCCATTCCGCTCGCTGGGACCGACCAGCATTGTTAACCAACACGTCTATCTGGAGATCAATGGGATAAGTTGTCACTATATGTCCTATGTTTCCTGCTACTAAGGTACACCAAACAGGTCACAAACTATGCCAAAATGGTTGAATATTATACAAATTCTCCACCGGCTGTAAAAGCTAACAAAGGTCCAGGAACCCCTACTCGAAGTGGTTTGTGTGTCTCTGGAAGCTGATTAATCGGACCATTCCGTGCTGTGTTCGCATCAGACAGACCTCCTGGTCCCTTATGTTGTACAGTAAGATAACCATCAGCTTCTGAAAGGAGACCCGCCTCAAAATGACCATGGCGAAGGGTTGACCGTTTTCTTTCAGCAATAATTCTATAACAAGATATCAAATTATACTTACATGCTTGAAGTGTGCAAGGACTTTGTCAACAGCACTTTTATGACTGGCAAAGTCAATAGAGTCCAGGGTTAGTATGAGAATGTCCTCATCTTTAACACTCCCTCTTACTAAAACAGAAATAAAGAAACGTAACAGGAAACGCTCACACCACCACTAAGTGTATTCATGTGTTACATGTATCATTCATCAAACTTGTGAGATAACTAGTCCTTAGCACAAGAACAGAGGCTCCTTATAGTAGGTATCGCATGCTGTTTGCTATCCTAAGTTACTACTGTGTACATTCCCATATAATACAGACAGAAGAGTACTCATCAGCTGCTATACAGCACAGCAGAAAGTGCTACAAGTTCTCACATTTAATTGTGTTATCAACATTAATATCTGCTTACCACAGAAATCTCTACAAGACAATATTAACAGATTGAACACCATATTGACTTATGAATTCATATGTCACCAAAGCGCCTAGATGAACATTCCATCTAAAAGAGATCTAGCATATGAACAGTTTTACCAGAATCTTTTTTTTTCTATAATAGTTACATACACATGCATTCCTTTTTCACTCTCTCTAATTCCTTTGTCCTTCGTGCTGATAGAACTAGTCGACACCCTGCCCTAGCCAGCTCGTAGGCCAGCTCTTCCCCAATACCACTAGAAGCTCCAGTGATCCAAACAACTTGACCAGCCAGTGACTCTGAAGAAAAACCATAACATGGATATCATACTCATTTACAATAATACAGTCCTAAGAAATGTTTTTACAGTATTTCTTGTCACTATTGTTCACTGTAGAAATAATTTTCAAAGTGTTATATTTTCGTGAAAACATGACACCTTGAATGTAAAATTAACAGAGAACCTGTGTTTATGTCCATGAGAAAATATTTTTTTTTGCTTCACTAGAAAATCTAAAGAACCAGCAAAAGGCAACTTTTGCATTATTTGCTTTGTAAGGTGTTTATTTTCCTGAATGTTTCACTGCCTTTACAGGTAAATACTTCTATGGTAATACAGCAATAATTCATCACTACTTTTTAAGACTTGGACAAACTAATTGACTTTTAGCATGACAATTCAGCAAAACAAATTCTTACTTTATCTGATGTAAACAATAATACAATGATACTGAATTCCTAATCATTAAATAATAAAATGAAATACAGATATTATTACATAAAAGACTAATACAGGTAAATATGGAAATACAGTTGCACAGACTTACCGACAGACTTTCCAAACTTGGACTTAATTTGAAGAGCAATGTCTGCATCCCCACACAATATCATCAAAATGGCGACAACATTAAAGAGGACAACCAGCCACACCAGTAGATACAGCAGGTCCATCATCAAGCCTTCGTATACTGTAGCAAAAAATCTCATTAAACCAGAAGATACAACAGGTCCATCATCATGCCGTCCTATTCTGTAACAATATCTCATAATGTATGTATTTTTTAAAAATGTATTTGTAAGTCTTTAATTGGGCTGATCAATATTGAAATATCAATTCATTATGAGCATACATATATTACCACCCTCTACATATTGTTGAAAAGGCATACACTTATGTCAACAACATACTTTAAGTAAAAGATATTAATTAACAAAGCAATACCTGTATGTGTAACATTGTTGAACATTGAATAAAAAATTGTTTGACTAACAAAGCTTGACCATATACCTGCTATCTATAAGACTCTTCTTTCATGATAAAGGTGGGGAAATAAATACTGATAACTTCAATTCTTAATCAGTGTAAAATCCATTCAATTTGATATCGATTCTGGGAAAGAATAAGAAATGTGTGGACATTATCAAATTAAGTAATGTAGGCAGGCTTACTACCAATATCATGGATTAAAAACTCCAGTAGCAAATCAAAAGGGTGTGCATCACAGCAAAACCATTCATATAACTAACAATCTCAAATCTTGTCTGCATGAGTGTTGTCAAATTCAACATCTTTGCACTTGGACAAAAGGGTACTTCTTTCTATAAATGTCTCTGTGGATATGTTATCTTCGTTTTATTCTCGTTGTTTCTCAGCATGTTGGAGCTATTCCATGAGAAATCCTACCTGCTATGCTATTCCACCAAGAAGTAAGTTGGCCACTCCTATTTATTGCCTGAGATGAACTTTACAGTCATCAGTATATACCTTAATAATTAATTAATGACATTAAACAGCGATCCAACATTGCTAATAATTTTGTCATATTCTCAGCATGATTGTCTGTAAGTTAGCCTCTGTTGAAAGCCTTATCATAGTTTTAAAGGGAAGGGGAGTATATATATATATATATATACATTGTATATATTAATTAAGAAGCATCAATGATGGTCTCCATAAAATGTTTCCAAAACATTTTTTTTTAGATCTTGTGGTCGTGAATTACAGTCTATATCAAAAGCACTTTCACTGTCATGTAAAAACCTTGACACATAGCATGCGATTGCCTTTCATCTACATTAACCTTAAATTGAGTTACCAAGACGCGACTACGGAGAAAACACTTACAAGGATAGAGAACATAGATGCGAGTCTATTGTTTTAACACATAATACTTCAGGTGTGCAACATAATTATTATCTATGGACTTTGTTATTTGTGTCTGTTCACAAAGCTGGTTAAAATTCATATTCAAGCCAAAAGTGTTTCAAATTGAAAATTGGTTGACTTTACAATGATGACTATGAATATTTGTTGCCTTTTGTCGAAAACCAAGAAACAACAGCAGAATAAAAAAAAACCTATAAGACTGTCTTGAAAGTTGTCAGTTAAAAATAGTCCGTTAGTATAACAACATACACAAATCTTTTTATAAGGTTCTTGGAATAGCAGGGTTATGAATACTGATACACATGATGTCACTTTTAATTCCCTCTGCTTTTTAGATATTTTACAGTTTTCAAAACACTATAGGAGTGTGATACAAAAGTAAATTTTGTTTTTTGCAGTAACTTTGAATCATTTGGGTGTTTTTTGCTAGTAATTAGGTCTTGTAATTTTGTAGAACAAATTGATGTTTTTTTGCACCCCTGGATTTGCAAGTGTAGTGTGAATATTTGCAATCCCAATGAAACATTTTGGGTATCTGTTATGCCGTTGGAAGTGTAAGAATGTGACCCAGTGGTACATGCATATTTTTGGCTTTTGAAATGCCCCCAGAAACATGTGTGCCATATGAGATAGTGCATTTTAAAGATTTCAAATTTGGTAGAAAATGAAATGGTAAAACAACTGACTAAATTTTGGCTTTTGTAACTTAAGTGCAATACATCCATAAATGTGGGCTCAAATAATGCCCCAGGTTTGCATTTGGTCGGCTGTGTACATATTAGCGGTTTTTTTAGTAATTTTATATATACAGAGGTTTAAGTAAAAGCATTTGGATGTTTTGGGACTTTGTAACGTAAAAAGACTTTTCAGGCTTTTACCATGTCTGTGGAATTGTTGGGTTGTACACCTTATAACTTATAATCTTCCCCTTAGGTTTAAGATAATCCAATCTCATCCCATGGAGAATTAAGATTATATTAATCTAGCTACATTCAACCACGATTGTCTAGGACTTGGTTAAATGTTGATCCCTACGACGAGGAACATTGTCAATCGGCCGATATAAACGAGTCCCTGGGAGGAATCCCAAATGGGCACGTGATTCTTCTAGATCTGTAATATCCTATGGTCACACCCCTTAAACGTTATACATGTGATGTGTGCATACCTGATCTTATTTTACTGGAAACGAGAGCAGTGATACGAGTAATTCAACGGCGACGTCCAAATTGACTTTCAAACGCAAATGTTACCGGATATATAAAATTACTGTGAATCTTGCAATAAATCTGCTTCGTGGAATTCAAAAGTGAAAGTAGAAATGAGAAAGCCTAGTTTCAGGATTAAAATAGGCTGAAGTGTACTAGGTTAAATCAGTTTGACAGAAATTAAAACTGAATGGTAAACATATGCTGAGCAATCTCTTTAAATCAGCAGTATCAATCCGAAGGCTTATCAAACCAAAACCAATGCATTAATAACTAGTCATGCACCTTGCATCTTAGTACTTATATTTTAAAAGATAGTCTGTTTATCTGAATTTTAGACAGCTCCACTTCATGATACCTTCGGAAGCCTCGGGACTTTTCATGACTTCTTTAAATCCATCTGGAAAAACCTTTTCACAATTCACAGTCACGGGTTTACGCACAAAGTATCCGGGACAAGAATAGGTACGGCAACCTTGAACTCTATCGACTACACTCCAGAAGATTTTCTTTATTTAGGAAGCATGGAATAAACAACACAGACTGTCAACGCAGGTAAAGTCGACTTCCGATATGGTAGTCCAAGCAACAGTTGTATGAGTGATGAGAACAGATGAGGAAACCTTTATGAGGCAGCTGTCACTAGTGTCAGAGGCCTCTATCGTAGCATGACAATATGAGCATGTACTTACAGTTTGTAAATCTAATATAAAAGTCATAAAATTAGTGAACCTTCATCGATGAAATTGTTCCTTCAACGTAATTTACAAAGTTTAACATTTGTACTGTGTAAATACATGTTAAACACAGATATACATGTAGTTTATGGAATAAAGTTACAGGACCATAGAAATGAAGTAATGTACACGTACACAAATTAGAACTTAAGTATTGCACAGGTATATATGTAATCTAGGTGCCATTTTTATATTATCTATATGTAATATGTATATATAGTATACCTCCTGCGGTACCAGTTTGCTTATATGTATTCTGTACATGTATGTGTTGTTACTGTGCTTGCGTGTCATGTTGTTTACATCACTGTGTGTGTACAGGTCCAGTGGAATGTGTAGTGTGTAACTGAACCAGTTCAATGTGACATGGTCATCTCAACATTTCAACGCTTGCACTGGCGTTGCATTCTTATTGCGTTCTGACACCTGGTTACATCACTTTTCTTCTGGCTTTCTATTATCTCTCTTCATCTACCATTCATTCTGTTGCTGGACATCTGCACAAGCAGTGAAGCACTACACATTTGCAGTTATGGAGGTATTGCAAAACACCTGTTGCCGTATAAAAGCCTGATAAATTGACAATGCAGTACTGATGATGTGTATATTTTACATGTATGACAGTCGTTTCTAAAGATATTGAAAGTGTATGTGTTGCCTTGTCTTAGTAGGTTTTTTATGTTGGGATATTATAATAAAAAGATTATGAACTTCATCCCATTTCCATGCCTTGGTGACATATACTTATATAACATGTTGTACATGTAGACCTACATTGTAGATGGAACAGAGGTGTTATAAACTTGTGACAGCCAGTTACAATAAGCATGTGATCGTTCACCAGGATTCTGTGTATGATCTTGGATTTAAATTTAATACTTCTAAACAACCTATTTTAATTTGACAATATAGACACTTCATATAAAAATGTGTTGTTTTACCAGAATGACCTTCTATAAAAGATGGAAACCGAAGTGAAATCTGATAGTCCAAAGGGTCCAGACCCTGTAACACCCACTGAAACAACACAAGATGAGTTGTCAGCCATTCGTGAACATGAACCTTTGGAGGAATTGCTGTCACAGATTCCGCGAAAGGCCCAGAAAGGGATGCTTACCCAATGTGATCTGGTTCTCTCCTGTATAGATGCTAATGAAGACTATATAGCTCTTGGTTGTAATGTTGGCCTTGTTTTTGTGTTTGACCAGAAAAAACGTACTGTAGAATACAAACTCAGGACAGAGGTAAGGAACAAGTCAATGCCTTATGGGCCCAGCAATTTCTTTTTACTTGATCATATGATGTCCAAATTGTGCATTCCATTAGTCTTCATTTATTACATCTTTTGACCACAATAGGTGCACGGTTGATGCCAAAAGTTCCTAAGTCAGTGTATGCTAGGCTGGAAATTAGAAATTTCTAAACAACAGACATGTAACGTTGCATGACGAATCTTAGTATACCTATATGTGTGTCAAAATCCTTAATCCTACCAAAAATATTGTTGAGGATATTTTCATTTTCAGTCTAATAATGACACTGTTAGTGTTGTACAGCTGCATAAAGGATTAGACAGCCAGGTTGCCATGGGAACAAATGGTGGAATTATCTACATTTTCCAGTTGCCATCCACATTACCGGGGCAGAATAAACAAGTTAGTGATGACTACCTTCCAACCTGTGTGTATGTCTCCTCAGATCTTCTTTAAGTGATAAGAGACAGGCTGCATTAGTATTTTTCTTCTTTTCACTGTAAACTAATTGGGTATCTTACTTACTTTGCATTGTTTTCTGATTCAGGCTTCCGAAGTCTCTTCTACATCGAGCTAGAAAGACATTAGGCCAGCTTGGCTTCTGGTAATGGCTGGTTTGGCCTTAAAGTCTGTGTACATAATATCTTGTCCTTTCATGTAATTATCTAGGTGGTGTCTTGGTGGAGAAATAAAGTGTAAATTTTAAATGCTTTGGTTTGTCATCAGATGTCATATAATCAAGTGTCAGTCTTAGATCAAGCTATTTCATGTAATTATCAATGTAATATAACAATGGGATGTGACGAAACATTTCTAAAGGATGAAGTTTGAGACAATCAGATTAGTATTTCTGATCTAATAAATTTCCACTGCATCTGCAGCATTTACATTGGTTTCATCCAGCTGGAATTCTCAGATACACTTAGCTCTGTTAGGTTCGGATTGGATTACCAAGAACATTTTATTCCCACAGCTTCAACAGTTTGTGGTGCGGAATTTACACCACAGCAGTGTCACCTGTCTCTCCTGGAGTCTCAATGGAATGGCATTGTTCAGTGGTGACAAGAAAGGTCTGGTTGTCTGTACAGAGGTGGACTTTTATGAGGTAAATCATTAAAAAAAATATTATCCAAACAGAATTGTATTGTTAGTCCAACTGTCCATTAAATTTGAAAACATTGTATACATTGTAAACAATCCAGAGTTCTATCCTGTATTTAAAACACTGTATACATTGTAAACAATCCGGAGTTCCATCCTGTATTTAAAACATTGTAAACAATCCAGAGTTCCATCCTGTATTTAAAACATTGTAAACAATCCAGAGTTCCATCCTGTATTTAAAACATTGTATACATTGTAAACAATCCAGAGTTCCATCCTGTATTTAAAACATTGTATACATTGTAAACAATCCAGAGTTCTATCCTGTATTGAGTGAAAAAAAGATGGCTGTCAAACTTTTTTCACACAAACTAGTTCCCTTATCCAATAAACAAGACTTCAGAAAATATTGGTTTACTTTCAGATAGATTTGTACAACAAATACATCATTGAACAATTTAAGAGAGATAGAACTTAAAACTGTTTGTTGTCAATATACCTGTACAGAGGCATTGTGAGTCAAGTGTGTCACATGAAGAGAAACAGTCGGAGATTGTGCAGCTCCATCATGCCCACAAGTCCTTGCTGGTTTCCACACTGCACCGCTCCTTCGTCTACAGGCCCAAACTCACAGATAACAAACTTGTTCAGGTTGGCAAGAAGGACCGGAAAATGTAAGTCTTGGATGACTTTTATGTTTGATACATTCTAAGTCTCAAACCTGGAGGAAAACTATAGATGCATTGTTATGACGTACAAAATGTTAAAGTAACACATGAAGCAGTAGTAGATAGAGGATTTTGAAAACCATTCTGATGTAGCTAACAGTGTCAACACTAAAATAAGATATATAATTATATACTCGTTTCAGTCATTACGATCTTGTTTATTACAGACTAGGTAACTTTGGGGCCTGTTTCATCCCTGGTCTCTGTAGACCTGAAGATGCACAGCTGTACGCTGCTCGTCCTGGTCTGCGTGTTTGGAAAGCAGGAATCAATGGCGTTGTATTGAACACTAACCTGTACAAAGACATATTGTCTCAGCCCCATCGTGACATCCCAATAATTCCATACGAGGGTCAAACAAGATCACAACTCAAGTCTTCTGACCAGCAGTTTGGAACACTTCTCTTGTATCAGGAAAAGTACTTGGTGACATGGACCAGCAGCCATTTGTATCTACTAAACCCTGACAATAATACAGTCATAGCCAGCCAAGCACGACTTGGCATCCTCGTAGGTGTCGTAGTCACCAAGGATGACCTTTTTATTTTACGTAGGAACACAAGCAGAAATGTAGTAAGACTTGGTTTGAAGCCTCTAGTAAAACAAGGTAGGTTTGGGAGCAACAGATATGAAAATGTAACAGTAAATTAGCTGTTTCTACATAATGAACAATCACCAGCTTTGTGACGGAATTAATTATTACAATATTGATATATTCATATTTATACCACATATAAAAACGAATATTGTTGGAACATTGCAACAATGTACTACCTAAAAGAGTCCATAATTTGTATTTCTGTTTTAGCTAGTAATGGGTTTGTTCTGAAATTAGTTAAAGAATATTCCATAGTGAGATATCAGAAAACATTACTAGTATAAAGTTACATTAACTGGAAACCTTAGTGTATTTGTATCATATTTCTGATCAAGCTGCTGGAATATGATACAGCACTGTGATTGGCTATTAGATTCTTCATCAGACTACTGTTATACACTTTATAGTACTGTGATATACAATCTGATCAAACTAGAAGCTAGCTAGTCAAAAGAAAGTGTGTCCATATCACATTAAGATGATGATTATGTAATTTGAATTATCAGTCATATAATTTTGAAGAAAAAAAAAAATTTTGTTTCATCATTGCATTTCCACAGAGAGTGTGTATGAGCGTCTTGTCAGGGAAAGACAGCTAGCAGCCAATGCTGTTAAGAACAAAAACTTGCAGCAAGGCAGCACAGACAATACTAAAGACCCAGATGTCAGGCCTAAATCTGACAAGCCATCCAAATCTCCACTCAAGTTCTTTCAAACAAATGTACTGGACAAGTTTAAAGTGGCCGGAACAGGGGTAGAGAATTCTGTGTCTCATCTTGTCTCTTCTATGGATCGATTTGGACATGATGATGAAATGGAAGGTCACTCACAGGAAATAGATAGAACTGACCAATTTAGAACTCCTGACAGTCCTAGTCCCGGTAAAATCTTGCCACCAGTTGTTCAATTAGATTCTCCAGACCTTCCCACAATAGAAATATTTTCTGGAATTCCCCCACAAGCAAAAGATTTGTCAAATGATAAACCATATACTTACAAATCTAGTCCCTACACAGGACGATTTAATCCATTCTTAAGTGACCCTGTGTCTGATAATGAATCAGAGGAGATATGTACTGATACTTTTGGTACAGTAGAAGTGTCAAGTCAGCAGTGTGAGAAGGATAATTTGGATTCCATGTCACAGAATGACGAGAACCTTAAACTACCAGAGGAACCAACAAGTCCCCAACCCAAATTCATGATAGAAAAACTGGATAAAGTTCTGAAACATGAGACTTCAAGTGATGATATTGTGTTCACTCATAAACACAAAAAAGGAAAGAAAAAGAAAAAAGCTACAAAGGAGAAAGATGGTATGTATGATGTGAAACATGACATTGCCACACTAACTATTGCTGCATTATATTCATAGATATCTTTGTGACAATTTATTATCATTATTATATCTCTCAAATGAATTCAGTTTAAATTTTAAAAGGAAGTGATCCCTTTTGTAACTTAATTTCTACAAATAAAAAAAAATGAGTAAGGCTGCATAACAGACAGTTATGATCGACAGAAAAACCAAGAAACTTTTGTCCCATTTGTCTGTGACCATCTATCTAAAATTTGTAATAGATATTATTGTTTTTTTTTTTTTAGAAAATTTGTCAGTAAAAATTCTAGAGACAGATGTTTATATTCTGCAAGCAAAAAGGATTTTAAGTTTTTCTTGTCCACAAGACAGACGATCTTATTGGATGGTGCTGTGTTCATTGTCCTGCCCTCAAATTTTTCTTATGATTAGTCTAGATTAGTCAAAAGATCCATATTTGGACAAAAGTGTCATTGGGTGAAACAGAATCAGTTTTGTTTATATTCCGCTTCATAAATGAAGTTAATATTACAGGTCTTATAGACCTCTTATTCCTGGATTGTGTTTCATATTCTTGCATTATTTACTTTGTCCTTTTAATGCCTTTAACATGTTGTTTATTATGTACAGGTGAAGGGGAATCGCAGAGTCAAAGAACTGAAGTGACATCTGTAAGTCCCGATCTCCAGCCGGAGGATAAACAGGAGGAAGAATCCTCAAGATCTATCAGTCCAGATAGTAAATCTGAGGAACCTGTCTATGAACCTCTCATCATGGATGAACCAGATGATGTAGAAAAATTCAGAGAAATGTCCAAAGAGCTGGAGTCATTTGAGAGAACACTGACAGATCTTCCTGGGCAATCCATGCTGACCCAGGATGCAATAGAGGCTGAAGCGCACAAGAAAGATGATCTAGAAAGTTTGAATGTAAATATGTCTGTTGGCAGACAAGAAATTGAGACAAAGACTTCAGGAGCTGAAAGTCCAGGGCTCCAATCAAGTCCTATTCCAGCAGAGGTGAATACTAGTGAGCATGATGTGACCGATACACAGGATAGTTGCCATGGAGGTAGTATGACACCTGGAATGCAAATTAATGAAATTGATACTGAACAGCCAAAGAAGAAATGTGTGACTGTTGAATGTGCAAACAAAGTTGACGCAAGTTTGTTACACTCTAGTGTAACCATGACTACAATGACAGCCTCTTCTGATGTAGCAGTAACTCCTCATTTTTCACTTGACTCTTCTGGAAAAATCCTCACATCTAGTACAATTCTAGATTCCAAGGAAGTGCCCACTACCGAGAGTCCCTCAGTAGTGTCAGAGGAGGAGGAGGAGGAAGACAGTATATATTCAGTAAAGAAGAAAGAGGAAACCTCTTCAGAAACTGTTAAGGATAAGATGGATGACCTAGTCAATAACACACAACAATTTTTCTCCTACAAGACTCCAGATGCATCAATGGAGGATATTTATGGTAAAACTGGTGGTCTGACTCCTTCTCCATCAGATCCAACAAAAGGCTTATCTTCCTCAAAGATGAAAGATAAAAAGGAAATAAAACAGATAAGCGACCCTAGTGAGGATATACCACAGTCCCTGATCAATAACTGGGGAGAGGCAACAACGGGAGGAAACCTTCAAAGTCTTGCTATCAGTAACAGTCATGTGTGGGTGGTAGACAAGAGCTGTAATGTGTATTACAGTAGTCTACAGGGAGGGCGCCTCAAATGGCAGAAGATCAAGGACCCTGGCCATCAGATTGCTGTTTCAAGGTCAGGATTTATTGTGTGGCGACTTTACAAGAATACTGTTTATGCAGGCACTAAAATTACTACCAGACATCCAGAAGGCATGAAGTGGGTTGAGGCTGTACGTAATGTGCTGTTTGTGGCTGTAGACAATAACTGTGCTTGGTAAGACAATTTGGTTTTGTTAAGGACAGATCTCATACTGCTGACATCAGCATTCAGTCACCAGGGGTTTTAAACCATATTCACTTTTGTGTGTTAAGATATGTTGTGAACCCTCAATATATCAGGTTTGCATTTACTTTATCATGATATTTGACAACTGATAGGATTTTCAGAGTCAAAGTAACATGTAATGGTTGAAGATCTCACACGATTATTTTCAGAATGGTATGAACCTCTCAGTAAGCCATGCTTCTTCAGATGTAGTCAGGGATATTTTAGATAAATAAGTTCTTCACAAATACATTCACCCTAGTATTAGATATTATAAACAACAAATGCAAAGGTTATTTCATCTGATAAAAATATTTATACATAGAATTGTTTTTCATTTTTAAACAATTGTTGAATTTAATTACTGTCCAGGTATGTAAAGGTATCTGGGGAAATAATGATACAAAATGGACTGTCCATGGATCGGCCATGCTTTAAGTCAATAAACGTCCCAGGAGAAGAATCGCTGAGATTTAGGCAGGTGGCTTGTCAGGACAGAGTTGTGTGGGGAGTGACAGAAGAGTGTAAGCTGATGTACCGACAGGGAGTCAGTGATGTGTGTCCAGCAGGCAAGACCTGGCAGCATAATGACCAGTAAATATATATATAGATTATAATAAACTTCTTTTTTTTTCTCCAAATCTCTAATTCTTAGAATATTGTCAGTTTAAGGGAATTACTTACTGGTTCCTTTTTTATGTAAAGTACCATTTGATTCAGATAAGAAAGATGTGTGTCTACTCACATTGTTAAAAAAAATTCCTGCATTTAGTGCTGTCTAAAACAACAATGCTATGTTCCTGTTCCAATCTAAAATTCTTCAGGTTTTTTTTATTGTGAAATAGTTTCAAGTAATTGTGAATGTATAATCGTGTTGTGTTGCAGTGTTGGGGAGGATACCATGTTCTCATATGTTGCTCTTGGAGATAAAAACATTGGATGGGGAATAGATCTGTTAGGCAGGATCTGGTTTATTACTGGAGTAACCATGGATACACCCATGGGTCAGGAATGTTGGTGGCAGGTATGTATTCGATGACGTAACATATTTTACCCTGAGATTGACTGTCCATGCAGTGTTGACTATTAGGTGTTCTTTAACTCAGAATGTGTGCAAGTAGGAGCTGATACCAGGAAAATATTGCTATTGTTGAAAAAACATGTAGTTCTATTAAGTAAGCACATCAGTATTGGTACAATAATTAGTGGTCAGTTTTGCATTGTCTAGTGCTGTTTTATTTCCTAGGTACCGGTCAGTGAAATACTTGTCCAGGATGAAACAGCTATGGACTCTTTACTGTCACTTGCCAGGAAATTTGACCCTCAGAAGTTAGCTCATCTTCTCAGTACACAAGGTGGAGGACTCATCACCGCAGGGGAGGGAGGTGTCTGGGTGTGTCCTGAGTTCAAAAATACACTACAGATCTGTAGAGGAAGTATACAAGGTAGAGTATATCGCATGTAGGAGCTAGGCTAGGAAATGTCACATATACAAGCCTGCCTGGATCATATAGAAGATGGGATAAAATTAGCTTCAATGTTTTAGATGCAAAGCATTTATCTTTATAGAGTGTACCATCTGTGATTGATTTTCCTAAATAAGATCAGGTTATTATAACACAAAATGGTCTTCAGACATTTTAAGAAGATGGGGTTGTTAAGTTTCTTAAAGTGCAAAACATATTTCAAATCCTTGAAGTCCATTAATGGCCACACAGTTTGTTATGACTTAGTCATTGGACTAAAATTGATAGTCTATATTGTTTGAACACAATGTCATATTTGCCAAACAAAAACTGAGATTGATGTATTTCTGTGGTGCTTTAGAATAGGAACTGAATATTTGACTAATTTTCATACCACTGACAAGACTATCATACCTTCTTTAAGTTTTTTTCCCAAAATGTTTTTTGAAATTTATTCTGTTTGCCCTTTGACATTTTCTAACAGGTCACAGCTGGAGGGAGGTGAACATGGCAGGTTTCACCTCCTCCATTGCCTGGAAGCTCCTGTCAGCCTCAGTATCGGACCAGGAACACGGTAACCATATACTCCTACTTTCATTGACAAAGATCATTTTTTTTTGTCTGGTGTGCAATGGAGTTGCCAAAACAAGACTTAGGTATTATGTGGCAGCAGCATCAACATTTGTGTTTAACTCTAAACTATACACCTCAAGTTTGCTGTTAATAAGTTTTGTTAATTGATTCAGCCATGATAAAGTTTTCAGTTTAGTGTTGTGTTGAGCTTTTTAAGTTACCATAACAAACTTGAAATATATATAGATCTTTGATCATCCCAACACACATTTCTGATTCTGATTTTCGCCTGAAGTTTGCTGTTACATGGACTTTGTTAATTAATTGGGCCATGTCAAAGTTTTCTATTTAGCTTTGCACCAGGCTATGTTTCCCTCCAGGTAAATTAGCTATAATATCCAGACCTGGGATATACTAGAAATGATCATTCCAACACATTTCTCCAATTCTGAATTTCACCTTCTCTTTACCATTCATTGAACTTTGTTAATTAATTGTTCCAAGTTTTTAGTTTAGCTCTACATGGAGCTTGATTTCTCCCTTTGTATATATTTATATAATCCTGATGGAATGGAGAAGCATGGAAACAAGATTACATGTAATTCTTGTATATGGAGTGGCCTCTTCCACTGTCTATGTGATACACCCTCTCATAATATGATGGAATTACAACATTCCTTTATCTTGTACAGCTTGATCATGTCTACCCTTACTTTAAAGATTTATTGGAATAGCCCATAGATTGTCTAGCATTATTAATTAGTTCCCCACCAGGAACCAGGATAGACTTTAGGTTTGCATTTGATCCGTCCATTTGTCTGCTTATTCGCTGTCTCCTCTGTCATCCTGCACTATTTGTCACTGGAACTTCATATTTGGGGTGTAGGTTCACCTGTGTGAATGGGTGTGTCATGAAGTAATAGTAGGTCACTCTGACATATATTTCAACCTTTGACTTAAACAAATAGTTTGTCTACTAGTCACTGGAACTTAATGCCTTGGGTAAAGGTTCACTTTGATGTATTGGTTTGTCATATATATATAAAAAAAAAAGGTCACTGACCTACATTTTGACCTTTGACTTCCATCAAGGAGAATAGTTTGTGTTGTGTTGGCAGGTAAAGATTATTATCACTATTTCTGTAAAGGAATGTTCAAATTTCTTATCATTAAGAGCAAAAACAGAGAAGAGAAAAGAAGAGAAAAGATCTAAGTTTCATTTGCAAATGAATATCAAACAATTTCTTTTTTTTTGGCAGTCATGGCCTTTCCTATGGTGATGGGCCATTAAGAATATGATAACAATGGTAATGATTTAATTATAGGTGGATTCTATCTAATCCAAACATCACTGGCACCAGATCATTTGGCCATTTTCTTGATAGTAAAGAATCTGCAATTAAGTCATTGTGTGATAGAATACTAACTGAAATAAGATAAGTACAAAATCTTGAAAGCCACACTATTAAACTAGCAATGATAGATCTTAATGTACATGTCCATGGCATAGCTATGTGATTGCTGTTTGATGGACCTTCTGATTTTAAAAAGGACAAACGTTTGTTAGCTGTAATTATTCCTTATGACCATTGAATACTTAAAAAGCAATAAAATTCAGTATTTGTAATACAGTAAATTCCTTTAAAATGGTGTCTTCTCCTTGTTCCCTCAGTAAACTAAAACCAAGATTGTGATTACTGTTTTGTTCAGGTCTTGTGTGGTGTGTACAGCCTAACGGTGATGTGTTCACACTGTCACCCACTACAGGCCACACACAGAGTGTGGAAAACCCGGCACCCCGTTACAGACTTGTGGGGCTTAGTGCTTGTCCTGATGCTGTGTGGGGACTCACAGAGAATGGTTTTGTCTTCATACGAGGTGGAATCCGACCAGACTGTCCTCAGGGTACTGAGTGGATCAAACTGGACTTACTTCAGCTTGGTAAGGAGGTCATTTATAAAACAATTGGATTGTTTCATATCAGCTTATCTCAACAACCTACTCTTCAGTTTGAATTCTTTGTAATAATGCAAATTAATTTTATTGGACATATAGCCATGGACACAAAATCATGTATGTCAGTAACTACCATACTGAGCTTCAACTTTTTAATTCCATTCACTCAGTATAATATAACTAATAAATATATAAATAAATATATCTTCATGAAAAATGAAAAATGCTTCTAAGAAATTAGATTCCAGTATTTAGATAAAAATTTGTACATGTTCTTGAAAACGATTCTGGCAATGGGACAAAATCCTTCACGATCAAATTTGTTATTTTTAAGTCATTATTTTTATAGCAGATCTAGCTTGTTGTTTCTAAATGCAATATTTTACAATATAAATTTCTATCTTAGATTAATGTTGTTTCTCAGAACAATTTGTATTTCAAAATTCATCTATAAAATCAAATTGGGAACAAGACAACAACCAGTATTGTTGTACTCTCTTTTAAATTCCTTTATAAAGATTTCTCCATTTTTGTCTGCTTTCGCAGGTGATGTCCATCTAATGAGTGTGTCATGTGGACAAACAAATGTGTGGGCTTTAGATAGTGATGGAGTAGTGTACCAGAGAATCGGTGTAAAGGCACCCTCTTCTCACTCCCTAACACAGGCCTGGCTTCCGGTGGACTCGGGGGCCAGCGGAACAACCTTTATACAAATCTGTAGTGGGCCAAAGGACTGGATGGTATGTACAGGGGTGATATCCATTGTAAAAGTGAACAACAATGATATGAAAATTACTTTGATTTTTCGATGATATCCGATGCCATGTAGTAGTAAGGGTATCTCATTTCAAAATTGACTGAATTCTAGCTAGAAATCAAAAGTAGTCCTGACCTAAGTTTCATAAATATTCATCAACAAAGAAAAGTATAGATGAGTGTGAGGAAATTCTACACAACTAAAAGCTTTAAAGCTAATTGATCAGGGTTCTCTCCAGCTTCAGTTAGGAATTTCTCTCAATCAGTCAAAACTTGGGTAACACCTACTCTACAATTCACAGTAGTTAAGTGTACTACTTTAAAGTTTTTACTGCATGAAGCAGTTTTATTTATAATAATGTTCTATAATATTACCAGTACATGCATGATTGTTTACAGGTGTGGGCTATAGACAATCGTCGTCAGGTTTACACCAGGACAGGTATTACAGACAGAATGCCTATTGGTACTAACTGGGTTCATGTACCAGGTAGGTTCTATTCTTTCATTTTATAACTTATCATATCTGAGATTGATAACTTTTGACAAATCATTCAGATAGGTACACATGGTCTACAATAGAGATTTGTGCTGATGGAGCAGAGCTGCGTATAGCAAAGTACCACCTGGTTGCTCTCTCTTAGGACTCTTTTCATTTTTATTTTAATTAAAGAATTCCCGAGGTGAACATCAATGACATCTTCAGAATGACTTTGATGTCAACGATGGTCATTGCTGTAGAGCTTTACTTACAGGTGTATTCAGAATCCTATTAGGACCATGTATCTTTGTTCAGTCTTTTGGTTTACAAAAGATTAGCTATGACTTTTAAGTGTCGGATTCTAGATCCTGTGACCACAAGATGATGTGCTTAGATATCACATATTATTTCACAAGCTTGGAAGATATTTCAAAATAAAAACTTAATTAATGATGATAAACTGTTGGAGCCTCTTGTTCCAACATTTTGATTCATAAAACTACAATTCAAAATATATGCATAGGATTTTCATGCACAGATTCGTTGACTACCCATCAGTACCCAGACATATCATTGGAAAGGATGTCTCCGAAGTTTTACTGTATCGAAATTGTTTCAGTTGACCTCTTTCGGTTCTTATTAAGGTAATAAAAGAAAGAAAGGTCAAAGTTGAGGATTGTTTTACAGGAACACTGGCCCAACAGATAACCATGAGTGAGAGAAATGTTTGGGCATTGAATCCTGTTGGAGAGATCCTGTGTCGGTATGGTGTCACACCAGAGAACCCTACTGGAAACTACTGGAGAAAAGTTCCTGGAATCTTCATACATATATCTAGTAGGTTAATCCTGTATAGTTATTACCTGAATTCTTTGTTAACTAGATCCTATTATATATAGTAATTACCTGAATTCTTTGTTACCTAGATCCTATGTTTATGATATATAGTAATTACCTGAATTCTTTGTTACCTAGATCCTATGTTTATGATATATAGTAATTACCTGAATTCTTTATCGTAACAGCTTCAGCATTAGATGATATATGGGCCATCAATCAGAAAGGGCACATCTATAGGCGAAGGACCAGGTTTTTATTACGCAAACGAGCAGGCAGTGATCCACTCCTTGAAAAACACATCAGGCGCGGTACCAGTACCTCCAGTGATGATGGTTGGGAACTCGTCTGAGTTAATTCTATAACTCCAGTGATGATAGTTTGGAACTCTAATGAGTTCATACTATCACTCCAACCATGATGGTTGGGAACTCATTTGTGTTTATAATGTTACTCATTCATTATTTTTAAAACTAGTGTGAGTCAATATATTTTCTTGTGAAGGTCACATGAAACTCGTCCGAGTCATTACAATATTCCAGTGATGACTTGTGACTTCTTGTTGAATAAATTTTATGTGTTATCTTTTGTTATTGGAAGAAACCTGTGAATTGATATCAACTCGGGTCATCCAATTCAGTGCTAAAGTCTGTTTATATTTCCCACTTGTGGACATATGGAATTTGGGTTTTTGTCAATACTCCTTCACATTCCCAATGGTGATATATGAAGTACCAGTTATGGTAATACATTCCTTTTAGACTTAAGCAATGTTTTTCAATCTCAGATAGTGATGACCACAACATTATGCAGTTTTGAAATGTTTTGTGTTTGCTGGTCATTCTGTGAAAGTGTTAAAATTCCAAGCCTGTAGCTTATCCCAGACTTGTGACACATGAAGACGGAAGTCCTTTCTAGTACAAATCCTGACAGCATATAATTAAACAATTTACTATGTCACAGAACTCCTTGACCACTTGAGTTCATGGATGTTTTGATTCTCGCGTGCAAGAAAGAGAATTCCTATCCCAGGTGTGTACCAGTCCTACCTTTTCTAAATTCATACCTGTAGGTGCCATGTCTGTAAGTAACAGAATTCCTATCTCAGGTCTGTACCAGTCCTATCTTTTCTAAATCCATACCTGTAGGTGCCATGTCTGTAAGTAACAGAATTCCTATCTCAGGTCTGTACCAGTCCTATCTTTTCTAAATCCATACCTGTAGGTGCCATGTCTGTAAGTAACAGAATTCCTATCCCAGGTCCGTAACAGTCCTACCTTTTCTAATTCCATACCTGTAGGTGCCATGTCTGTAGGTAACAGAATTCCTATCCCAGGTCCGTAACAGTCCTACCTTTTCTAATTCCATACCTGTAGGTGCCATGTCTGTAAGTAACAGAATTCCCATCCTACAAAATCCACATTTTAGTTGGGGGTATGATTCTTTTGCTATCTCAGTCCAAATGAGTTACATAGAGAATTCCTATCCCATCTTAATTAGATCCATACCAGTTGGAGACAGAACTGCTATCTTTATCAAGTTCATACCATTTGGAGATAGAATTCCTGTCTCATACCCGGCCAGCACCAACTGGAGATAACATTCCTATTGCAATGAAGACAAGTTCCAGTTTGAGACAGAATTTCTATTTCATTCCAAGCCTTATTATCTAGCGACAGATGTTCCTATCCTGTTCCAAACTAGTACCAGCTAGAGACATGATTCCTATCATATTGATAAAGATCACAAAATATCATAGCCATTTTACAACTTAATGTATTATCTTTTTTTATAACAAATGTCTGCTAAAAATTTATTTATTTTTCTCTATTGGTGAGATTCACAAAATGAACATGTGCATTAAAGACCCTATTTGTTTGTATGATTTTTATGTGAATCTGCATACTACTTCTAACATATCGAGGTTGTGGTTTAACTTAATTATGTATGAAGATACCTTACCAATGTGTTTATAAGTGTGTCATGCCTTTTTAGTCTGATCCTAACAATTCCAATGCAATCCTATAAGTAATTCATATTATATATATCTGAGATTATTTATAGCTACCTTCAGATGATATTGCTGGGGAGATGGATTTTGGGTTTCCCGGTAATTTCATTTGTCTCTGTGTCTATAAATACACTGTGAGACGTTCCTTACTCATTGATGCATTTAGGTCTAATGGTACACTCTAATGTGTATATACAGTTACATTTGGTGCTATCAACAAATCATTATTTACATAATATGTTACATTTCTATTTATTTTCACGATTATAAATCAGATTAAGATTCCACAACCTGTAGTGTCATGTCCCTTTTGAATATTTGTTTTCCAAAGTCTTTGAATCAGGTTTGAAATACATGTAATATATATGTAGACAATGTTCTATTTTCAGGTTAAAAATTACTTTTCATGAACTAGACATTATTGATTGTAAAATCTGATGTTAATTTATGAGAAATCATAAGATAAATTACCGTAGTATTCACATAGTGCTTATTTGTCAGGTTGACTTACATAATGAAGACGAGTTTATGACAAAGCAGACCCTAAAAAAACCATGGTATAATTTCTTTTAATAGATTGTACATAAAATTGTATAGAGAGTCAGGAAATGATGGTTCCGGGAACAGAAAAACAATGCCTGGTTAAAAAAGGAAGATTAATGCTTTAATTGGTTTTTGTCTTAAGTCCTTTGAGAGGTGGACACAAGATTGACAGAATATTAAACTTGTCAGATAGGGACACAAGATCCAAGCTGTGGATAGATGTAGATTTAAGTTCCCTGATAGTATCGTCAGATTGATACTGCTCAGTCCTTTTACATTTATCTATTTTATGGAAAAAATCACTAGTTCATATTTATTGCATTTTTTAGACCAGCTTTGTGATAAGCCTGCACTTACTGATCTATACGTGTATACAGGCATTCTGTCTCTCTGATTTTCACCGTAAGTTGTTATCACATAATTTCTATTCTATCGATATAATTTATTGGTAAACTAGAATGGTAGTTTGGATTAATTCTAATACCAATTTCTTTAAATTGTTTTACAATTATGTTGGAAATTAAAGTAAGCATAAGACTACACACTTTAACATACCTATAAAAACTGTTGAAGCTAACGATAAACCATCCAATTGGTTATTGAATACAATTGAAAACAACAAAACAACACTTTGTTATTGAAGACATTTGACTACAGCAAAATGGTACTTTATTGAATACAGTTGACCACAAAAAAATAACACTTTGTTGTTGAATACAGTTGACCACAACAAAACAACACTTTGTTATTGAAGACATTTGACTACAGCAAAATGGTACTTTATTGAATACAGTTGACCACTTTGTTGTTGAATACAGTTGACCACAACAAAACAACACTTTGTTAAAAACAGTTGACCACAAAAAAACAACACTTTGTTGTTGAATACAGTTGACCACAACAAAACAACACTTTGTTTTGTAATACATTTGACTACAGCATAATGGTACTTTATTGAATACAGTTGACCACAACAAAACAACACTTTGTTGTTGAATACAGTTGACCACAACAAAACAACACTTTGTTTTGTAATACATTTGACTACAGCATAATGGTACTTTATTGAATACAGTTGACCACAACAAAACAACACTTTGTTGTTGAATACAGTTGACCACAACAAAACAACACTTTGTTATTGAAGACATTTGACTACAGCAAAATGGTACTTTGTTGAATACAGTTGACCACAGCAAAAAATTACTGTTTTTGAATATCGTTTACCACAACACTTCGTTATTGAATACGTTATACATTTAACCACATTAAAATGGTATTTTGTTATTGAATACATTGGATTGCAGTAAAACAGCACTTTGCTATCAATACAGTTGAACACTGTAATACAGCACTTATTGATTTGTCAGCACTTCCAAGTTGTTAGGCCTTTATATTTACTGTACGGATGTTATATGTGCCTTCAACAAGTCACGTAATTATAATTCATATCAACAAGGTGTTATTATTTTCAAAAATACGTCAAATTCTGAGTAAATCTTATGTTGCTCATTTGATAGAATTTGAAATATAATTGAGCATATATGGCTACAAGTAAAACAATGGAGAATATGTTATCATATATTCTTAAACAAAACCAGTAAATATAGAGACTGCTTAATTCCTTGTGTCATGTATGTCTTGTTTCAATTAATATTAAACTATTTTTCTTTAGTTTCCCTATTGTTGTTACATAATAAATATATGTATTTATCGGAGACTTTGTCACTATTTTTAATGCTTTATCAAGACCTTATATTTCATTAACATACAGGCCTTACAGGTGTATAAAATAGGACTATTATCTAACTACTTTGATTTTATACACAGATTATGTCCAGATACTGCAGACATGGATTATTTATTATAGTACAAGTGTAGAAATGAATGCTTCTAGAATTACAGACAAAGAACCGGAATGCAATTAATAACCCAGGAATGTCCCTAGAAACTCCTCACAGAATGTGTTCATACCTATCCTAGATAGACTTACAGAAAGCAAGCCTTCAACCAACCATATTAAGTATCATTGCTGTGAGAGTTTATCTGAAAACAAAAAGAAACTGATTTGTGTTGGGATGAAGAAAAATCATTGATGCCTACCTCACTGCTATTATAAGATTTCTTCAAACTTGTAATGAAGGGTATGTCAGCTTTAAACTCTAAAGAGTTTTTTTACATTGTTAAAGCCCTCTTCAAAGAAACATATAGGAACTTTTGATTTTCCACCATGTACACTACCATACAAATGGAAGGGATCTCTCTCTCTCTCGCGGCTAACTTTTATCTAAGAACTTATCAAAACAGGTCACAAATACCTTACCAAAACCTTCATTTTCACTTTTTTGAGACAAGGAATTTATTGACCATGCCTATCGTATATACCCACCAGGATTGACAATCAAGGACACCAAATACTTTTTAGTTTTTACATCAGCCGCTTACCTCGACCGTTTTCTATAACGAACCCAACAGGGACCAATTTCCAACAAACAGTATGATGAGCTTGAACATTTCGATTTTTCTGTCCTGATTCCACCGTCTCCAATCGCCACATCATGGTCTCCAAAAACATGGGGTGTACAAATCGAAGCGTGTAAAAAGGGGCCAGTTAAGAAACGGACTTCATATCATTCCAAATAATATCATTTTGTACTTTTCTTATAGCACACGGATCGCAGCGATATCTCTTAAGCCCATAATTGAGATCGAATTATGTACGGTTAATTCAGAATTCTCGACAAAGATGGGCCAATCAGAACTAAGTTTCATATATCACTATTACTCCTAAGTGAGTTAAAAGCTTATAATTTCTTAAATCAAATGATCTCTTGGATATCAGCATTTTTAATTGATCGACAGCAAAGAGTATCTGTCAATGGTGCGGATTCAGATTGGGCTGAAGTTACATCGGGAATCCTCAAGGCTCCGTGCTAGAGCCATTGATGTTTGTAATATTTGTAAATGATCTACCAGGAACGGTCCAGTCAGATATGTACCTATTCGCAGACGACACAAAAATATATAAAATAATTAAGCATTAACAGGATAGTATGGAGCTTCAAAAGGACCTTGACACGGTGTGAGTGGAGTAAAACGTGGCTACTTAAGATGCATCCAGATAAGCATAAACATATACGAATAGGCAAGGAAAGAGGTAGAGGTCCAAATGATATAGACCCAACTCACCATCTTCATGTTAAACATCTGCAGAGATCAAAATAAGAAAAGGATGTAGGAGTTATTATAGATGCTGATCTATCATTTGATAAACACATCTCAGAAAAGTAAAAAAAGCTAACTCCATGTTTGCACTTCTCCTGGGGACTTTCAGTTCTTTGACATCAAGTCATTTATTCCGCTATATAAATGCTTAGTGAGGTCACAGCTGGACTATACCAGTTCAGTTTGGGCCACATATCTTCATTAACACATTGAGAAGATTGAGGGAGTCAAGAGAAGAGCAACCAAGTGTCTTCCAGGAATGAAGGACCTGGCCCCACTTGTATAAAACATCTCAACTTGAGATTTCCTCAAGCCCAGATTTTCCTCAGCTAATATCTCCTTGAAAATATCTTGTATGAAAATTCCTCAAGGAATTTCAGGACATCCTAGCCGATGCCTTCCTCCTGTTCCTTGAGAAAATTTTATACAAGCCGTTTTTGAGGAGATATCAGCTGAGGAAAATCTCGACTTGAGGAAATCTCAAGTTGAGATGTTTTATACAAGTGGGGCCAGGTCTACAGTCAGAGGTTGAAGAAACTAAAGCTTCCAACATTGGCATTCAGGAGAATAAGGGGAGATATGATAAAACTGTATAAAATAACAAGTCCAATTTATGATAATGAATGTTTTATTGATATTACATTATGGAGAGATGCCTCAGATCGCTATAGTCACAGAGGTCATTCAAAAAATATTTCCTAAACGATCCACAACTATGGTAGAAAAAAACACATTTTTCAAACAGAACAGCAAAAATTTGGAATGAACTACCAGAAAATGTTGTATCTGCTGGGAATGTTAATTTATTTAAAAACAGACTAGATGATCACTGGAAAAACCAAGAACTTTTCTTTAATTCTGAAGCATCAATCCAGAATTAGATATCAAATCCAGTACTGGATATATGTATTTTATTATGTATTCATACTGTATTGTAATGAGTCTGGTATAGAGGACTATGACAAGTCCTGAACCAGAAATAAACTTATCTTTTAAAACACGCTTTCCTCTCATTTCTAAGAAATACACTAGGTTCCTTCCTAAACATAATTTGATGAAAATCATAGTTTTATTGAACTTCAAATACAATGTTTGGTTAGGAAGGCAGATGACAATATCCAAGTTTATTTACACTTATGATCTGTCCGAGTTCTACAAATTGCATTAGTATATATAAACTTGGATAAGGTCGTCCTCCGTCCTATACGGAAATTTATTTGCTAAACGGAGTTATTTTCAATATAAATATAGCTTAAATTGGCAATATTGACCAGAAAATGTTAAAGATCGATTGTGTTAGACACCACCTGGCTCACACATTTACAAACTCCTGCGTCCACATGAAATATTAAAGATAAATAATCATTGTTATGAAATCCAACAGCCAAAGAAATCAAAATTCATATTCAGGTAGGTTCTATATGCAAAAGTCGTCACATCCAACATTGGATTGATGCATGTTATAAACATTGGCGCTTTAACAGGTCCTTAACGTCGATGTATGTAATAAACAGTCACAAAAAATTGTTTTCGTAAACGTATGCTATCTTAGTCAACACATAAGAAATATCTTTATTTAGACGTGAAAAGCTATCCTATAATGCACTATATTTCGATTTTGCGGACGGTTAAAGAGTTCTATAAGGTGAACTCTGTCACTAATCAACAAATTATACCCTATCAGTACAACAGTTCCATACACACCTTGGATATAGGGTCCACAATTAGAGTTTACCTTGTTAAAAGTGAGTATGACAAACTAAGTGATAGATACTGTATGTAGCCAACTGATTTAACTGTTCTTTATACTAGGAATCGTCAGTGAATCATGGGGTTTGCAGTAGAGAATAGGGAAGGGTGACTTATAGAAATCGACATTGTGTGGTAGGTTGTAACCGTACTGACGAGATTTCAATCAAATAACAGGCGTTACATACAGACATCACTAAATACTGTAATCACATAAATTTCAACACTACTTCCATCGACCTTTCAGAATGCATGAATCATGAAAAAGAATTAAAGTTGTAGTAGCCGTTTTTTTTACGGAGTTTAACGTCATCTCAACGAAGCTTATATACATCAATATACAATCCTTGGTCTAAATGATCACCATGATAGATATCGTTTTCTGATTTAAGTTACTGAATGTCTCATAAAGTGTCATTAATAGGAGGGCTAGAAACTGGTTGAAGTAGACTTTCATGTTGATGAATATACAATATTCCGTATGGAATCGGAATCAATTTCCCGATGTCTTGGGCTTGATACAACAGCTGAAGACAGGACACAATGTACCATCACTCCAAAGATTATTTATAGACCATTACCTGTTGGACTGCTGTAAGCTTTCTGAGCAGTTTGAATGATATAGGTTTATCACATGTAAACTGGATTTAGGGATTTTATAGAGAATAGTGTCATTACCTTATCTGGATGGCTAGTAGATACGACAGATAAGGAGGAACACCTTCATCTGGTATTTCCCATATGTATATAATACAAGCAATGATAATGACTTCCTCGGAATAGATGTAGAGAGCCGTCTAGCTCCAGTAGAAGTCCTCCACGACAGGTAAGACGTGATACGTACTACTAGTGTATATCATGTAAGCAGCATTAATAATAACATATCCTGCTTGTCGTGTTTTAATTCACTGGAATAGTGATGCAGTTTAAAACATAAACATTTAATTTAATTTTTTTTCTTGATAGTATATAATGTTGAAAATCACGAAAAGAGGGGTAGCAAATTGGGCCGTTCTGTCTCCGTTTAGTTTTTCCCCAGAAAGACTTTTTAAGATCATATTTTTTATAGTTTGCTATTCAAAACATATTTTTTGTGGGGACTCTAATAAATTTTGGAAGTCAAAGAAAAATAAAACAAAAAAAGCATAATAAAACTAAGCTTATTACCGAGTGGATGAAATTGGTCCATAGTGGCACCACTGCCTTTTCGGATTACTGCGTTTCCCATTGTAGTTTTCTGTTCGACTTTTTATGACTTTCATTGGTCACCTCTTACGTTTAAAAATCGTCCTAGGCATCACTGACGAGTCCAAGAAGAGCGAAACAGCTGTATGGCATGTTTTGTACTCCTAACACTGGTTAATTGAAGACGATTAACAAAGTGGGTACTGTCTATAGTTGGCATTACGATAAAGGTTGACTTTATCGACGGCTCAAATTCTTGATGTTTTGTGATAAAAGGATTTATTGCTACTGAAACGAACAGTAATAATAATTTTATAACTTGTTTTCAAGTAATTCGTTTTAACGACGTTATTTCATCTTTGAAAATAACAGCCTTTACAATAATCGCAGTAAGAAATATTAGTAAGTTTCGATGGTCGTAATAATCACATTTGGATTTATTCTTCTTGTGCGATCTGAGGTTGGATATATTTGGTGCGTGTTAGTATGTCTGTTGTTTTTTGGGACCGTGGGACCTTGAGCTGCCCAAGATTTACATGTTGATTGTCAATGAAGTTGTAGATGCTTACCCTCCCAGAACACCTGGTCTTATTATCTTTATATTTTTCAGAGTAAATCTCTCTTATTCATGTTTTCCTTAGTTTCAACGGTTATGAGTTTGAATTCGGATTCTGTTGGCATATCACTGTTTTTATTGTTGTTGTTTTACCAAAGCACACAAAAGACATGTAGTTCATTACTTACTGAAACCATCTAAAGGCTTTTTTATGGTGAAATGCCGAATGAAAGTGGTTTACTTTAAAAAGCACATTCGATAGAATGGCACATCACTAACTAGATAGATGGAAATCATAAATAATTAAAAACTTTTGTATAAAAGGACTACATCTGTACCTACCCAAGAAGATGTCGGGGCACTGGTCACATGACTATCTAGCAGGAGGATTGGGAGGTAAGATAGGAAGTAAGTATATGCTGTTCATAAGTAATTATAAATTCCATACAGTAAATATAACATAATATGCAACAGTAATTATAAATACCATACAACAGTAATTATATTCCATAATATGAAATTATATACATCACTTTAGTATTTAATTGGTATGTTATTGGACCCTCAAGATAAAACTTTACCACAGCAATTTCTAACAAGTTAATATTTCTGAAATGTGTTACGTACGAGTAATCCATGGAATAATGCATACATATACAATGTAAATGCATTTGTGATATAAAATTTTCAAACATTAATCTATACGACTTATTTATTTATTCATGAGAAAGGAGATCAGATATGCCATTCAGAACAACATTATACCCAATAGACATGAATCTTTTCCGTGTTTCTATTTAGGCGCAGCAGGTCTGTTGGTTGGCCACCCGTTTGATACCGTAAAGGTGTGTAGAGAATTTGGATTTCTTCTGATTTTCGACAATAGCTGACTGATGTGTACTAGAATGGAATGAAAGCTGTATTGTGTCGTTTAATTCATTATCTGGATCTACTATTGTTCAGTATTTCCCTGTGCGTCTTTTGTACAATCCATTCAAGTACCTAATTCTGTATTACCTTGAGTCTTGCTACCCACCAGTTCAACACAAAAGGTTCTGCACTTTCCGATGAAAAGCATACAAGACGAATAAGTAAACAAGTAGTTAAAGCAGTAAACCTGTAGGACAGGCTCATACTTCTTCGTATTTAGGCCTCTAATATAGCTAATACTTTGGAACATGGAATACGTTAATGGCACAATATCAACATCTTACATTTAACGTTGTTCAAACAACAAGTTACAGGTTTATAGCTTGTAGTCTATTGGACATATTGAATATGTCGACGTAACACGAAAGAATTAAAGTAAGGCAGCACAGTTACTTGAACACCATCTTTACAATAACATACATTATGCATAAGTGGTAGTGATCAAAGTTTCACACTTCTACTGTCCCATAGATAAATCTAAGTGTATACAGTTGAGAATGACGAAATTGTGTAATAAGTGGAAGAATATAAGATTATGACGTTACCATTTGCAAAATTACAAAACATGAAAGTTGTGAACACATAAAGAATATGTTGAAGGTAGTTATGTCATTTGTTGGTGTTTATTGTTTGAATAAAAATCTGTTAACCGGTACTCCTACCTTCATAATGAAACCTTCCTGATTGTCACCTCAGGTCCAGCTTCAGACTAGGACGACCGACCAGCGTTACCGTGGGACGATTGACGCTGTATCTGGAATTAACCAGACCGGTTGGGTTGGTGACCTAACAAAATATACTGTATTTAAGGAATAAGATTGATTGATTTCTTTGTTGTTTTTGTCAACAACACAATTAAGGTAGTTCCATTCAAAATCATTACAGAAGGACAAATTGGGAAATCAACGAGACATCAAAGATAACTCATATGAACGTCCATCAGGACATTTAAAGATGTTATAGTGTAAAGTCATTAAATTCTGTAAGGCTGTAATGATACTCTGATTTTAAATAACCAAACGGCTGAATTTACAAAGAGTAAGCTAATATGCATGTATATATTTCCTTAATGTGAAAAATGATCGTAGTGATTCTTAAATTCATCAAATTCATTTATTTATGGTGTGTGTTTTAGGTTCGAGGTTTTTTTCGAGGACTGTCATGGCCTTTGTTTACCTTCGGTATAGTTAACAGCATACTTCTTCGTGTCTATGGAAACACCATGAAGATTTTAGAAAAGAACGATCCAGAAGACCGGAAGAAGCATTATATGAATGTGTACTTCGCCGGATGTACCGGCGGAGCAGCGTTCCAAGTGGTGGCAATACCATTTGATTACATAAAAGTAGTTCTTCAATCTCAAATTCAGCGCAACAATGGAGGTATACAACATTGTTTGAAATTATGGACATTTTATTTCAGTCCGAGTTTTCATTATTTTCGTTACCGTACCTTTATTTCTTTTCTCTTGAAATGTAACGTTATTGTCGAATTCTCTGTTTTAGGCTCAGTGGAGATTCAAAATCGGGTGCGGTATTTTCGTGGACCTGTAGAGTGCACGGTCCACACCTACCGTACACTAGGTCTGTCAGGTCTGTATAAGGGTGGAACTGTGATGGCAGTAAGAGACATTCCGACTTGTGGCCTGTATATGCTCACATATTCCTACATCGGCGACCTTCTCAGGCGAAAACGGTGGACAGATAGTCGAGGTGTCATAGCTGAACTCATTTCCGGAGGATGTGCCGGCAGTTTGGCTTGGTTTGCGACCATGCCATTTGATGTTATTAAGAGTCGGTACCAGGCAGACTTTGATGGTGTTTATAAGCGACCTTTAGATTGTGCCATAGCTAGTTATAAAGAAGAGGGTTTCCGAGTGTTTTATAGAGGAACTGTTGTTACTTGTTTACGCGCTTTCCCGTCATGCGCAGTAGCAATGCTGGTTTATTCATATGTTTTAGATGTATTAAAGAAAACATGAACTCTCACTTGTTATTGTTCTTGGTTAACAAACGATCATCTTTCCTGCCTGGACCAGTAACAACCCGTAAAAGATCACTTAATTAATGTTGGTTTTACAACGTATCCAATCTGACTTGGATAAATATTATTCTGAACAACCCACAGAGGCAAAGAAAGTAATGGAGGATAGAAATACAATACAGCAGAATCAGGGAAGAAAATTCAAGAAAAAAAAGTGAAATGATGAGAAACCGAAGAAGCTACATGAAAATTTGAATACGAAATTAGACGCCATGGCATATGACACAGTCTCAAACAAAAGCCAACACAGAAGGAAATGTTCATGGTAGGGTCCTGAACCATCATGTTTTATTTTATCAAAGTATTTTTTATAAAGTAATGTAGTTTCAAATTTGAATGTATACTCTCAAATTTACATGTACAAAGTATACTCTTTCTAGCGAACACATAATTAACTTACACATGGCCAGCAATCTTTGTCGATCTACAAGTAATGTTACACGTAGTTAATTAACTAATAACTAGTGCACGTGTCAACATAAGTAACGCCATATGAATGACATGTAATCAGTATAACAATACACATCTATGTATCAGTACCTTATGTTACTTATATAACACTTGTTTGTTCATGTTCTCCCCCATCTTACCTCTATCTGCCATCTCGGCCATTATTGTGTCATTTTTAAGTAATTGATTTATTTGAAAAAAATGAGTAAATATATTTCTCATCAGTACATTAGAAGTGAAGGCCCCATGGCTATAGAGCTGGTGACTTACAACATGGCCATCAGGTTGTGTCTGTAACTGGCCAATGTGCCATGTACATGTATCTAGAGATATTATTGATTGATACATTGGTACATTGTGCAATGGTTTACTATGTTATGTCACTTTATTCATTATTAACTGTATAACATGAAAACACACAGAGAGGTTGGAAGAATTAGAGGGTGGTTCTACGTTCGCTCTGACTTTTACCGAGGAAGTACAACTAAACATCTTAACTTAAGTATTGTAAAGGCATGTTTATTGTAAATATTTACCACACTGTTTACATGATTAGTGCATATATACTGAGAGTAAAAAGAAACGCAATAAGGAATTTCCAGGTCAACTATGGGAAATAGAAAAGAATTTTAGAATGTAATTATGGTATAACTGGAAGACAGTTGACCACACTGTCATCTACGAGAATTTCATTAGTGTACGTTAAGTAAACCTTTCAAATTTGACGTTGATTCAAGAGTACACCACTCAAAATGAAGTGCGTTCTGGACCCATCAATATCGTGTGTGCCCCCCGCGAGCTGCAGTAACTGCACGAACTTTTTTATGCATTAAATTGATCGGGGTATTAACCTTCCTCATTGGTATACGACTCCATTCCTCATCCAGCGCCAACGCCAACTGAGCGACGTTGCTTGGAGGATTCGGCCTACGTCTTATCCTTCTGTCCAACTCGTCCCATAAATGTTCTATTGGGGAGAGGTCAGGGCTGTATGGGGACCAGTCAAGGGTGGGGACATTGTTTGCTGCGAGATAACCACGGCAAACCCTCGCTACATGCGGCCGGGCGTTGTCCTGCTGAAACGTCAGTTGACCCTGCTGTACCAGAGAAACAATATGCGGCGTTTGGACTTGATCTCTATAGCGGACGGCCGTGAGATTTCCCTGAATAACGACCAGAGGAGTCTTGATACTATGCGCAATCCCTCCCCATACCATGACCGATCCTCCTCCAAAGCGGTCATTCTCTATAATGCAAGCATCTGCATAGCGCCCGTGGGTACGTCTTTAGACACGACGTCGGCCGTCTGCCCGGTAAAGCGAAAACCTGGACTCATCTGAGAACACAACCCCACTCCAACGTTGCATTGGGAAGCGTCTTACGGAATGTGCATTCAGCCATTGCATTCGTCTGGCACGTCGCGGCGCATTAAGCTGTGGTCCAACATATGGCCGCCGCGGTCTTAGACCGAAGACACGCAGTCGAGTACGCACTGTCTTTGGATGAATTGGAATATGATGACGCCCAATTGTGTTCCTTGCTGTTTCTGTGGCCGTCAGAAAGCGATTGCGTAGGTGCGAAAGTCACATTGCGCTATCCTGCCGACGCGTCGTCACACGAGGACGACCGCTTCGGGACGCTTTGCAACCCTTCCTGTGGCATGTAGTCTTTGGATGAGACGTCAAATGTTCGATGGATTGACTCCAAATTGATTAGCGACCTGATTTTGCCGGGTACCTTGCATATGAAGTGAAATGGAACGATCCCTGTCAATTTCGGACAGTCGTGGCATTTTTTTAAGTGAACTGTTTATGCTTAAAATATGGTAAAACAAGACGGATATGTCACAGATTCTAATACAATCCTTTATACTGGGCTCGAGATATCGTGCTTTTGTCTCATATTCTTTTGTACAAGCGGCTTGCGCAGTTTAGTTATGCATCAGTGATTTTAATACGGTACCATAGGGACACTTGTCAAGTTTCATGGTGTACGTCAAGGATTTAATTTACAATATTAACTTTCTGCTAATTGCGTTTCTTCTTCTTCTCAGTATAGTTAAATACATGCAAAGATTAAACTTTGTTCAATAATGACTGTTTGCATCAACTATTTTCAACATATTTAAAATATGACAGGATTTCATCCATACTTTCAACATATTTAACATTTAACAAGCTTTGATTACACATTACCAGACTAATGGTCTACATTTGTTATATTATCATGCCTCATGCATACCTCGGTTGTATATACTGTTCAAACAGGACCGCACTTGGTTGGTCGCGCACTTTGTTAGTCAACCAGACGCAACACTCTAAATCCTTTTCGGACGCTTACATGTAAAACCGTACAGTACTCTAACTTCTTGTTATTAAACTTCTAAATCTTGCGAATATACACCATAAGATTTACAACATAAAACAAAGATATAACTTTAAATGATATGAAAAAATATAAGGCGAATCATTTTATGGAAATTTAGATAACGTTTTTAGAAAATTATTTAGTGTCGGCCCCGAAATCGTATAGGAATTATAAAATCTAGCTGTCTGTAGAAATTCCTCCTCTGACTGATCCTACAAGTGGTTATACTGTATGTAACGATTGTGAAAATGCTGCCTTATTGAATCATTCTTTTTGTCTATACGCAATTAAGATGACTCGAACTTGCATGTTCTGCCTCTAGCTCCTAAAACTAATACATCACAAACTTCAGTGCACATAAACGTAGGTGTGTTAATGTTAAAGGTACTCAAATTAGGGAAAGCTTCGGACATAGATGTTAAAAGTCACCATATGGTACGGTATACAGCTTAAACCATCTGTAAACCTATGCAAAGTTTATTCAAGAGATCACTGTCAGAATGTATATATTAAGATTTGTGGAAACGGGCTATAGTTTGGGCAGTATTTAAACAAGATGAGAAAGAACTGCAAAGTCTTCGAATGTTATTGTTAAACACACACGTAAATATTTCAATGAAAATAATCTGTTTTATACCAAGAAATATGGATATATGCCAAGTTATAACACAGCCAGTAGAAGATTTGAGTGTGACGTTTCGATGACTACACGGTCACCTTCATCTTATAACGCAACCAGTAGAAGATTTGAGTGTGACGTTTCGATGACTACACGGTCACCTTGTAGTTTTTAAAACACAACCAGTCGCAGATGTGAGTGTGACGTTTCCATGACTCAACGGTCACCTTCATCTCAGAACACAACCAGTAGAAGATTTGAGCGTGACATATCCATGACAGCACGGTCACCTTCGTCTTAGAACACAACCAGTAAAAGATTTGAGTGTGACGTTTCCATGACTACACGTTCACCTTCATCTCTGAACGCAACCAGTAGAAGATTCGAGTGTGACGTTCCCATGACTACACGGTCACCTTCATCTCAGAACGCATCCAGTAGAAGATTCGAGTGTGATGTTCCCATGACTACACGGTCACCTTCATATCAGAACTCATCCAGTAGAAGATTCGAGTGTGACGTTCCCATGACTACACGGTCACCTTCATATCAGAACGCATCCAGTAGAAGATTCGAGTGTGACGTTCCCATGACTACACGGTCACCTTCATATCAGAACGCATCCAGTAGAAGATTTGAGTGTGACGTTTCCATGACTACACAGTCACTTTCATCTCAGAACGCATCCAGTAGAAAATTTGAGTGTGACGTTTCGATTACTACAGGTCAGCTTCATCAGACAAATGACCAGTGTATGGCGTATTAGTACTGACGTAAGTAGTATACGAGGTGGCAAGGAATTTAAATTTCCAATCATTTTTTTAATGTAAGCGGGTTGCAACCGGCTCGTTGGTCTAGTGGTATGATTCTCGCTTCGGGTGCGAGAGGTCCCGGGTTCGACTCCCGGACGAGCCCAATTTTCGTTCCTACTTTTTGTCGCTTCGTTTCTAAAATTCATATCCGATGTAAGATTAAAGATGATGATATGGCTGTAACATAATTGTTTGCAAGTTGGTCATTCTGCAATTTTCAATGTGTTAATAAAATGAATTAATTAATCCAAACTTTATTAAAGCGAAACGCAGTGATAAAATTTTTTGTCCATCACCAAATAAAGTAACATAGTCCTACATCATTAGTGACTACGTTGTAATAGCAATTCAACAATGAGAAATCGTAACCAAACCTCTCTTTTGTCTAAACACAGATATCAGATATGTTGGAATATGAGCCATACGACGGACAATACTTCAGCTCGAAAAACACTGTATGTTGATTTGATACCAACAAAATATTCTTTCTGGGTCATACAAGATACCAAATACAGAGGATACCGAGGTGCTCATTCAATTACTTTCGAACTTTTTCGACATTGACCACTCATTGTCTTTACAAGATATGACGCCATTTGATAGAACGCGGGTGACGCCTGGTATTTTTTTCGTCGGCCAGTAAGTAGAGTACCCGTTTTATAGGTGTTCACGAGACTAGCTATAAACCAT